AGCATGTGTTGTAGCATACAACAGATGCATGAACGGGGTGGATAAATTGGACCAAAACGTGGCCTATTACCCCTTCATCAGACGGTCACTAAACTGGTCCAAAAAGTTTGTGGCCTATCTAATCCAGCTCTCGGTGTTCAATGCCTATGTCCTCTACAGAGCCAGAAACCGAGGACAATGCAAAAACCTCTTGCAGTTTCTCCGGAGAGTTGCAAGAACGTGGACCTCAAAGGAGCTGCAGGAGGATGTCGAAGGAGAAGTTGCTGCTGTTGTGGGGCCAGGCTTGGGCACACACAACCCCAGGGCTCCTTATAAGTTTGACCCAGATAGCAGGCTGGATGGACAAATAAATAAGCACAAGCTGGAACACCTAATGCCTACCAGTAAGAGGAGACCAGCAAGAAAATGTCGGGTGTGTGCACGCAGGGGTCTTCGCAAGGAGACAAACAGGTGGTGCACATCGTGTCATGTCCCCTTGCACACAGGAGAGTGTTTCACCCTCTACCATACCAAGGTGAACTACTGGGAGGAGTGACACACACTTTTTTTTCAAATGTTAAGATTTTGTTTAAATACATTCTATATTTGTGTATTTTTGGACACATTTGTTCCTTTGTTCAAATTTTCTAATTCTACAAAATGGTTCTGTTTTGTGAATAAATCATTGTTTTTTTTCCATCAAAAGTAATATTTCCGAGTCATATTTTTGTAATTTATTGAATGGAACAAGTGTTTAGATGTTTGAGGTGTTACTAAAAAAAGACTATCAGCTACAAATCACTTTTCTGCTTGGTATGTTACAATTTACAAAAAGCTAGTTTTCTCAGGTTTCTAGTCTGCAACTGGTGTTTTGAGAGAAACTATACTATGTTCTATGACAGATTTCTCAAAAACGGTAGGAGGTAAAAACAAACTGTTTTTTGCATATAAAAGATTAGGCTCTTAGCTTTCATTTGGTACCATTGCTGTGTATATAGTGAAATAACTGAATATTCTGTGGCTCTTCAAAGTTAGGTGAAATCCCCTGAAAACTCTGGCAGAATGCACTTCCCTGATTTGAAATAGGTCTGGCAATCAATGAGTTAATAAAGTTCAACACGAGCCGTTCAAAAGTCTCATAAGAACAGACGTGAGGGCCACAGGACGATAGTCATTAAGGCACGACACAAGAGTTTTCTTAGGAACTGGGATGATGGTCGACTCTTTAAAGTTGTTCGGCACAGTACAGTTCCTTAGCGACAGGTTAAAAATGTCTGCTAAAATGGGCAAGTTTCTCGGAGCACAGTTTCAGGACCCGAGGAGGGATGCCGTCCGGGCCTGGGGCTTTCCGGACTGTGGTCCTGGACAAGACACGCCTGACATCCTCCTGAGTCACGGTGAAGGCACCTTGATTGAGACAATCAGGAAATACAGCAGGACAGGCATCAGCAGATTCAAAGCGACAGTAGAACGTGTTAAGCTCGTTAGGCAGAGCTTGGCCGACAGATGCAATTTTCCCAGCACTAGGTTTCCAGGATGTGATGGCTTTTATACCGTTCCACATGCGCCGAGGGTCATCTTCCTCAAAATAAACCTTTAACCTGTCCCCGTAACTGCGCTTTGCAGATTTAATAGAACGTTTCAATGAGTAACAGGATAGCTTATAAGCAACTGTATCATGAGATTGAAACGCCAAAGCACGCTCATTAAGTTTCAGTCTCACTTCCGCGTTCATCCAAGGGTTTTGACTACAATGTTCTTTTATGTCTTTCTGTGGGACACAGCAGTCAATACAGAAGCGTATGTATCCAGACACCGCGTCACAGAATTCATTAACATCTTCTGACTGAAACAGAGACTAGTCTGTGGCATCAAAACACCCCTGTAGCTTCATGCTAGCCTCCTCAGACCAACACTGCACAGTGCGAGAAGTTGGTTTATGTTCCCTGCTCCTCCTGAGTGTACGAGGGAAGGAGAACGGAGGAGTGGTCAGAATTTCCAAAAGGAGGTCTGAGACTGGACCTGTAGTGATCCAGAATATGTGCTCCTCTTGTAGCTTGAGTCACATGTTGGTGAAAGTTCGGGAGTACAGTCTTTAAATTACATTTATTGAAATCCCAAGCAACAATGATGACTGCGTTAGGCGTTAGGATGAGCAGACTCATGTTTGGGAAGGATCTTGCTCAGATCCTGTAGGGCTTCAGTATAATCCGCTCATGGGTGGAAAAGGCATGTGGGAGAGTCCCAAAATGTATGGAGGAAGGTGCTCTGGTCTGATGAGACTTTTCGGCCATCAAGGAAAACGCTATGTCTGGCGCAAACCCAACCCAACACATCACCCAAAGAACACCATCCCCACAGTGAAACATGGTGGTGGCAGCATCATGCTGTGGGGATGTTTTTCAGCAGCCGGGACTGGGAAACTGGTCAGAGTTGAGGGAAAGATGGATGGTGCTAAATACAAGGATATTCTTGAGAAAAACCTGTACCACTCTGTGCGTGATTTAAGGCTAGGACGGAGGTTCACTTTCCAGCAGGACAATGACCCCAAACACACTGCTAAAGCAACACTTCAGTGGTTTAAGGGGAAACATGTAAATGTGTTGGAATGGCCTAGTCAAAGCCCAGACCTCAATCCAATAGAAAATCTGTGGTCAGACTTAAAGATTGCTGTTCACAAGCGCACACCATCCAACTTGAAGGAGCTGGAGCAGTTTGGCAATGAGGAATGGGCAAACATCCCAGTGGTAAGATGTGGCAAGCTCATAGAGACTTATCCTAAGCGACTTGGAGCTGTGATTGTCGCAAAAGGTGGCTCTACAAAGTATTGACTTAAGGGGGGTGAATAGTTATGCACATTGACCTTTTCTGTTATTTTGTCCTACATCTTCAAAGTTGTGTGCATTTTCTGTAAATTAACTGATGCAAATTCTCAAACAATCCATGTTAATTCCAGGTTGTGAGGCAACAAAATGCCAAGGGGGTGAATACTTTTGCAAGGCACTGTAACGTCTCTATAAGCTCGCTAAACGAGAAAAAATTACATCCGCTGGCAATAGCAGTTGAACTTCATAAGCCACAAGCTATATATCATTTTAAAGCTTATTTTCTCAGCTATATTTATATGTAAGTGTAAACAATATCAGACTTTGCCTTAAAAAGATATAACGCATTATATGGGCACAAAATAAATCACGTTTGTATACCATTTTTACATTTCGTCTTCTGCTGCTCCAACAAATTAGACTTTCCCCATCCTTGCTTTGTCTCTTTCTCTCCGTAAGTCTTCATTGAAAAAGAATATCCACTTGTATTTCCCAAAATATAATCCATTCTTCAGAAATAATCAAAAAATTTGCATTTTTCTGTTGCAAAAAAAACTTTGTTTACCCCCACAAACATACGTGTTCCTTGACTCCTTAGCTTCAAAAAGAGAGGTTCCATGAAGAGATATGAGCAGTTTTCAGTCCGCAGTACCCTTGTGAAAAAGACGAACCGCATCCATTTGCACAAGGTCCGTTTGGCCTTGTTGTTAGCTACACAGCTAGCGCAGTGTGCTAGCACTGAATGATTGACGTGTCTAAATAGCCAATAAAAAGAGCTTTCAATTGATGGGTGGGACTTATAGGAACCCTTTTCATTTTCAGAGTAAAAGCGTGGGTAAAGACGCTGTTTCATTGCTGCGCATACTGTATTTTATATGCATTTGCACTACTAAAAAAATAATTTTGAAAAATTGTAAAAGAAAATCACACAGATTTGTAACTTATAAGTACCAAAACTAAAAAATATACTTTTTATGATGGTGAAATGTTAGTGAAGCAGTTTGGCACAATTTGGCACAAATTTTGCCAAATTGGTTTCGAATGGCACTACTTGATAAAAAAGATAAACTGCATAAAAACTATAAAACTTAGAAGTCTGAAACTTTACAGTTTTTGTCAACAACACAATGAACAAATTGGCGTTGAATGAAGTCTTCCAATGAAGTAGGCTTTTTTAGGGCATTTATACTTTGAATCTTTTAGGCAAGGCTAAAAAAAATCCAAACTTCAAAGGATGCAGAGTGAAATAAGAGTGACTTACATTATTTTAGTGTATATTTACATTAACTAGAAGGGCCTATCTTTAAAATTATGCATCACACAAGCATGTGAGATGTAAGATGTGTTTTTAAATAAGCAAAGACATTTGGGTATGCCAAACTTTTGTGCACAAGCCAAAACAGATATAGGAGCCTAAGGTTAAGGTGAATGCACACTTTTTACCCCTTTTCGTTTAGGCCTTATACCAGATGTTTCCTTATATTGTGGAAACAGAGATCACGACTTGGCTCTAGTTCAGAGCCGGTGCTAACCCTTCAAACCAGCTTCTTTTTTAGTGGGACAAAGAAGTAGGAAGTTTTCATTTTCTCTTTGTGTCTCTGTGCTCCACACTCCATAGGAAAGTACTGGGGGGAGAGTGTCTACCATCAGCTGTGGATATGCTTGGAGTGATTGCATTACTTGCAATCACTCAGCAATCAGATTGTATTTTTTCATTGCATATTTGTATTCTTTTAAAATTATGGACCAATAATAATACTCCAGCAAAGGTCTTGTCCATCTGGAGAGGGGTCCTCTAGTGCTGCACTGTAGCGACTAGTGTGTCCTGAGCCTTCCATGGGGCTTCCACCCAGAGGGACATGCCCAGATGGCATCTCCAGCCAGTCCAAGAGGTATCCCAAACAGATGCCCAAGCCACAAAAACTGTCTCCTCTCGACATGGAGAAGAAGTGATACTAGGTCGCTCTCCTCCAGTGTGACAGAGCTCCTCTAAGAGAGCGCTAAGCCACTCTGGAGCAAACTCGGGAGGAGCCCATGTATCACTCCCATAGCTCAGGAGGAGCGTTGACCAAGTTATAATGAAAACTTGTCATGTTGGCATGATGACTCTTTGCTCTTTGAAAGCAAGTGATTCAATTGTGTGTGTGTGTATGTCTGTCTGTGCATGTGTTTATATGCGTGCGTCTGTGTGACCAGGCGAATCAACATCGGGCAGCAATACCAGGCCTACATCCCAGAGGTGCATAGCCCTGGCACCCCACCTTCGGAGCAGCACCAGGCCGACCTGCTGTGGCGCCCCCTGGAGGAGCCCACCACAGGGGGACAGGGTAGCGGTCAGTATGAGTAAACAGAAGGGGTCAGTAGAGCACATGTGAGGGGAAGTGGACGCTCATAACTAGGGATGCACCAGTCCTGGTGTCAGTCACATTGCTGGTTGTGTAGTGATTAAAATATATACATATATACAGGTCCTTCTAAAAAAAAATTTGCATATTGAGATAAACTTCATTATTTTCTGTAATGTACTGATAAACAGTAGACTTTCATATATTTTAGATTCATTGCACATAACTGAAGTAGTTCAAGCCTTTTATTGTTTTAATATTGATGATTTTGGCAAAAAAGTAAAGAAAACCAAAAATCCCTATCTAAAAAAATTAGCATTTTTCATCCGACCAACAAAAGAAAAGTGTTTTTAATACAAACAATTTCAACCTTCCAATCATGATGTTCAGTTTTGCACTCAATTCTTGATCAGGTATCCTTTTGTAGAAATGAATGCTGAAATCGGGCGTGGCATGGAGGCAATCCGCCTGTGCCACTGCTGAGGTGTTATGGAGCCCCAGGATGCATCGATAGTGGCCTTACGTTCATCCACCAGGCCGGGAGTTTTTAAAAGCCTCAGGAATCTTCTGCAAGTGTTTAGAGTTAATTTGTGTTGGTTCAGATGATTAGGTTAATGGTTCGTTTAGAGTACCGTTTCATGATATGCTAATTTTCAGAGATAGGGATTTTTTGGTTTTTCTTTACTTTTTTTGCAGAATTCATCAATATTAAAACAACAAAGGCTTGAACTACTTCAGTTGTACTGATAAACATTAGACTTTCATATATTTTAGATTCATTACGCACATTACAGAAAATAATGAACTTTATCACAATATGCTAATTTTTTTAGAAGGACCTGTATATATATTTACAAATTAATCTGCAAATAATCAGGGTGGAATTTGTCAAAAGACAGAATTGCTGTAATGATTGACATACTTCTCTGTATTATCAATAGAATACATGCGTGACAGAAGCAGGATGGATTCCATTTTCATCTCAACTCACGTAGGAGATAGCCCTCTTTTTTATTTGAAAGGAATAGTGCAGAGCATACTCAACTACAGATATATTCCGCTCCAGATTAAAACTTGACTACTTGTTTCCATATGCATTCCCTTGTTACATGAAAAAAAACACTTTAACATGTAATCAAATCAAAACAACATATATTGACATATACATACACACATACAGCCTCATACCTGTATGTTCGAACCTCACCTCACATTTACATCACACATCCTCTCATTCACGTTATATGAAATCACTTAGTAAATTAACACTGACCATAAAATGACCATACTTTTCTGTCGCCCATAATAAAATCTCATACCTAGTAAACATTTTTAGGATTTTCCTCTAGAAATCATTGGTTGTTTGGACAAGAAATTACAGTCAAATATATCGTATAGTAGACGAACACAGTGATATTTGAGGTGTGAACTAAAGTTTGTATCATTATTGTATCAAAGACCTACATCAGGTATGCTAAAGCACATTTGGGAAATCCATCATTTTTGGAATAAGGTGCTGTGAACTGATGAAACTAAAATCGAACTACAGTGTTTTTACTTAATGAGCCCAACTACTTTAATGAGGCAAACTATGAGCTATAAAAATTAGGCCTCAAGATAAACAAGGTTAAGTTGACCTAGTATATGTGTTATCTGGTCCACAGTGCAGGACCTCGTGAACATGGCCTGCTCCAGTGTGCTTTATGGAGGAGGAACAAACCAGGAGCTTGTTCTGCACTGTCTGTTCCAGAGCGGAGGAGACATCCTGGTAAGAAACACTACAGCAACACATTTACAATTGTAAATGTTTCACTGCGCTTTATGATACTGAGCTCATTCAAGAGCAAACTAAAGACTCACTGTATCTTTATTCATCCCTAAGTGGGGAAAAACAGGGTTGATATTTTTTAGATTATAGCTTTCAATCCTTTATTACACAACTGAGTTGTCTCAAAAATTGGATGTTTTGCGTCTATAGTCCAGGAGCTAGAGCAGCTCTATGCAATGTTTTTTTTTTTCTTTTCTTACATTATTACATTATTTTGTTTCAATTTAACTCTTTTTTTTGTTCCAACCATCAAGATGGTTTGTCACAGATGTCATGCAGGAGTCTTAAGAGGAGCAATATAGTGATAGTTGCAGGTGAGAAAGTGTGAAATCCTTATCAGACCAGGCTTGATATTCAAATCCGCAAGTCTCTTTAAAACTATGTGCATTCGCATGGAATTAAAAGCTGGACTAATGTCTAAAAATAAAATGAATAGTTATCATTACACAAGGAGAAATGTATCTTTCATGCTATAGCCAACACTTGTTTGCAAAACTTGTGCATAGCAGAATGTGCAATGTAAATAAAGTGTGCTTGTGTCCCAGGAGACCGTTCGGTGTTTGCTGCTCAAGGACGTGCTGTTTCCTAAAGGACACCCCCTGTGTGACTACCACTACTCTGGTACGGAAACCAATTCTAGCACAAGCTTTATTAGACTTGACACTCATAGACTATACAGTAGTTGTGTTATTGCTATACATATTTTTAAACAAGCAGCTGCACATTTTATTTATGGCATGTTGGCACAGTGGTTAGCAATTGTGCTTCACTAACTTCCTGACGGACAGGAAGCGGCGCGTGCGTCTGGGGAAGAATGTCTTGGACTCTCGGATTATAAATACAGGAGCCCCACAAGGCTGTGTTCTCGCTCCCCTGCTCTTCTCCCTGTACACCAACCTCTGCACCTCCAGCCGCGACTCCGTGAATCTCATCAAGTTCGCATACGACACCACCCTCTTTGGTCTCATCTCCAACAACGATGAGCCCGCCTACAGAAGGGAGGTGGACCGGCTGGTGTCCTGGTGCAGTCCTAACAACCTGGTGCTGAACGCCCAGAAGACAGTGGAGATGATTGTGGACTTTAATTTCCTGGGCACCACCATCACCCAGGACCTCAAGTGGGAGCAGACCATCAGCTCCCTCATTAAAGTGATTGTCTGGAGTTTGTCAGAAAGAGAGACAGAAAGGTACTTGATTTGAAAAAAACGACGCAAGCTCCCTCCCCCTTCCTTTCTGATTGGTCTACACCTACGTTTCCGTAACACTTTGAAATGTTAATCAGAGAACATATTATACATCTACATTATTAATACAGATGCATGGAGGTTTTCAGAATTATTTGTGAACGTTTTAATGAAAAAAAATGTGTTTTTATGCACACAAAAAAGCGATCGCGGCAAACCAGGAAGTGCTATTATCATGAATTGCACATTATAGGACACATCTGCAGAGGATCTGATTATGGATATAGGTTCAGTATATACGTAAGTACCTCAGCGCGGATGTTCAGAATTCTTTGTTCAGTTTTCATGTAGTTCCAGAGCCTAATAGAGGCTCCGCAAAAACAAACAACTGCGCATGCGCGCAGCTGCGAGCATCAGCGCCGATGATTGACAGCCCTTGGCATGACTCGAACGGCACCGTGGATTCTGAACTATAGCTAAGAGCAGGGAAGGCGGGACTTGCCCGTAATCCATCCATCCATCCATCCATCCATCCATCCATCCATTTTCTTCTGCTTTATCCGTTGCCGCGACCCGGCCCGACCCCGTAATATTAGAATTAATAAAATGACTTATTTTATATGAACATTTAAGGCCAGGAGGTCAATTTAACACATTTCCTAAAATTTGTAATTCATTTAGAGTTACAGACTATCACTTTAAGAAGGCCCAGCAGAGGATGTACTTCCTGCGGCAGCTCAGGAAAGCCAAGCTTGCTGCACAGACGTTGGTGCAGTTCTACACGGACATCATCGAGTCCATCCTCACCTCCTTGTTAATGCTGATATTTAACTACAGTTGAACCTGACAAAATCTCACACAACAAACAGACATAGTTAATATTTTACTTGTTGCCCATGTACAAGGAGAAAATGTCTTGACAGAGCACACCGCTCAGCCTCTCTGCGTTTGTAGGTGTCAATGGTGCTGTATGAAGATGGGGGTGGGATGGAGCTGGGGGGTGGGTGGTGCAGCGTGCGCAGTGATGTGGTCGCTGTATCGGACCGTTGTGGTGAAGAGGGCTCTCTTGAGTCATTATTTGACTTTTTGTGTTTTGTCAAATATTTTGTAATTCTCGCATTATTTTGGTTGTTTTCTTTTCTTATGTGGAAGTATATTTTTTGTATTATTCTCATGAAGGTTTTTTATCATTCCTATTGAAAAGTGTCAGTTCTCAAATTCTTTTGGAATTATGTTTCTATTTGCTACATAGGCTGAGATATCAATAATTTAGTAGACGTTGAATTTCTGGAAAACATCAGGTTTTAGAGGGTGGTCCTAAAGTCGGCGATAGATTTTACAGGTATGTTTTATCTGCGTTTTAGGCCTAAATGTGGGTGGGTGGATTGGGGTGTGGGCCTAGAGGTAGAGTGAGAGAGCGGAGTGTATGTAAAGTTTGTCGTGTGAGCTAGGCGACCAGGGCGAGTGCCTGGTATGTTAGTGTGTTTTGGCGAAAGAATAAAGCCCCACTCTTATTGTGATCACGCCACACTTTGACTGAGGGTCACTACAGAGAAGGGAGTTACGCCCCAGAGGAATGCATCCCTTCAACCCTGAAGAGACAAATCTCTCCCACGGTCCGGGGGCTTAAAAAGAAAAAGCGCAACACAGCGTAACACTAAATTAAAGAAGTTACTTTCTTTAAAGAGTAACCGAGTAAAGTAGCGGGTTACTTTTTAAAATAAGTAACGAGTGAAGAGAAAAATTCCCCAACACTGGTTATAAACAAGTGCACGCACAAGCAAGGAAGACAGGCAATCACTGCACAGAGATGATTGGGTTACTGCTGCGGCTGCTGCTGTTGCTGCTCTGGAGAAGGCAGCTTATGAAGAAACTGGAGGTGGTGGATTTGGTCCAGGGCCTCACCATTTATTTGGTGAGGACATTTTGGTCCTGCCAAAATATTCTTGGGTACATGTCCCTATTGTCCCCACGCAGACCTACGCCCTTGTGAATATTTTTCAGAATTGTTTCTATCTGTTGTAATGTATTCTTCCTTGCTTGATGTTTCCAAATAAACTTTTATCATATTTGTTTCCCTTTTGACACATTGTACCACATGTTCTGAAATGTGTGAATTTCTTGTTGTCATATGTTGTGCAAATATGCATATAATATGGTTTTATCCCAGGATCCGACTGCTGGACTCCAGAAGAGAAACGCTACTTCAACAAGGGCATCTCTGCATACAGGAAGGACTTCCACATGGTGCAAAAGCTGGTGAGGCTTAAGTTCCACACAAACACAGAGTGTACATGGTACAGAACAGCCAGTACAGTGGTACAGAAGACAGAAAACGGGGGGTTAACAAACCCTATCCCTGGGAACAGGGTACAGTGGTACAGAGGATTACAGAGGCGACAGTAGCTCAGTCGGTAGAGCATTGGCCTTTGAGCCAGAAGGTCAAAGGCCTTCTCCACCGACTCCCACTGATACTATACAATACAATACAATACAATTTATTCTTGTATAGCCCTAGATCACAACAGAAGTCATCTCAGAGGACTTAACAAAACCATTGAAATCACCAACACAGATCAGAGAATCAACAGTTAAAACACATGAAAAATATAAAGCACACACAGAAGAAAATGTCCATACATGTTGTAGAATGCTAAAGTGTCCTGATCATCACCAATCCTTTCTGTTGGACACTAACTGTCCAACAAGACCATCATGCATCGACAAGGAAAAACTCTTAAAAAACCCAGTGGGAAAAAGTGAGAAACCTTGGGGAGAACTAGGGAAACCCACAGGGAGGGAGACCCATTTGAGAAAGGGATCCGCTCCTCCGGACGGACAGGGTAATGATCTAGGACCTAAGCTAGCTACAGAACGTGGACCAGTGGCCGCTGAACGTGGACAGGTCCGGTGCAGGACTGAAGGACTCCAAGGCGGGTCGGGCGGGGCAGTCCGCAGGTGTAGATGGAGGAGGCCAGGCTCAGAGATCCCGTCATCGTACCATGAAACAGACAATGGGACAACGGGTGAATAGCAATGAAAAAACTACAGTCAAAATCCTAAAAATGCTAAACAGATAAAGTAGGAAGGAGGAGAGGATAGTGCTCAAGTTACCATACTTCTCCCAGCAAACTGACTCCCTACGCAGCTTGACTGACAGTCTGAGGAGTTTAGCCTTCCCTGAGTCTTACCTTCCTAGCCATATGCTAAACTAAAGAGGACTGTTTTAAACCTAGCCTTGAATAAAGAGAGCGTATCTGGAAGGAGGTGAGACAGCAGCAGCAGCCACGGCTAGGCTTGCCTAGGTTACAGCACCAAGATTCATGGATTGCACACCAGGTGTGCAAACCGATCCAGGCAAACCTAATTATATATTATATATCATATATATAACATGTACCATACATATTATATATATTATATACAATACACAACATAACACACAGCATAATATATAACATAATATACAACATAACACAATACACAACATAATACATATATTGTATAATATATAACATAATACAGCATATATATATAATATATACAACATATATATTACCTAATTATATGCTAAATTAAAGTAGAGTGCTTTAAGCCTGGCCTTGAATGTGGAGACCGTATCTGCTTCCTTAACATAAATGGGAAACTGATTCCACAGTAAAGGAGCTTGGTAGCTAAACGCTCTGCCGCCAACAGTGATTTTTGAGACCTTAGGAACCACCAGACGTCTGGCGTTTTGTGAGCGCAACGCTCGACTTGGTTGATATGACACTAACGTGTCTTGGAGATAGGAAGGAGCCAAGCCATTTATGGCTTTATATGTTAAGAGAAGGATTTTAAACTTTATTCTGTACTCCACAGGGAGCCAGTGGAGTGATTTTAACACCAGAGTTATGTGCTCCCTCCTTTTGGTACCTGTTAAGATCCTAGCTGCCGTATTCTGAACGAGCTGGAAGCTCTTCAAAGAGGCTTTAGGGCACGCTGCCAATAAAGCGTTACAGTAGTCGAGCCTTGAGGTGACAAACCCGTGAATAAGTTTTTCCGCGTCACTTTTAGGAAGGAATTTCCTAATTTTAGCGATGTTCCGTAAGTGGAAGTACGCCGTTTTAGTTGTTTGGCTTATATAAGCCTTGAAGGAGAGTTCTTGGTCAAAAATGACTCCAAGATTCCTCACAGTGTTACTGGGTACAATACTGACATTATCGAGAGTGATTATCTGGTTAGTAAGGGAGTCACGCAGGCGCTTCGGACCGAGTAGGATCACTTCTGTCTTCTCACGTTTTAAGGTCCTTTATGCAGGTACTAAGCTTTTCTAGCTGATCTGTCTGATTTGGCTTCGACAGATAAAGCTGTGTGTCATCTGCATAGCAGTGGAAATTAATTCCATGCTTTTTAATAATGTTTCCTAACGGCAGCATGTAGAGAGTGAAAAGAATCGGTCCGAGTACCGAACCCTGCGGCACACCGAATTCCACTCCAGAATAAGGCGACGAGTTCTGATTTACGTTGACGAAGTGATACCGATCTGATAAATAGGATTTAAACCAGCCAAGGGCTGTTCCTCTAAGACCTATATCACATTCTAGCCTCTGCAGTAGAATGCTGTGGTCTATTGTGTCAAATGCAGCACTAAGGTCCAGTAGGACCAGCACTGACACTTGTCCATTATCAGGCAGCTAGTAGTAAGTCATTTGTGACTTTGACTAGTGCCGTTTCAGTGCTATGATGAGCTCTGAATCCTGATTGAAAGACTTCAAACATATTATTTTCCTGCAGGTGGCAGCAAAGCTGCTCAGCTATAAGTTTTTCCAGGATTTTAGATATGAAAGTGAGGTTCGAGATCGGTCTGTAGTTTGTAAGTATTTCTGGGTCCAGGTTTGTTTTCTTCAGAAGGGGTTTGATTACCGCGGTTTTAAAAGCTTGTGGGACATAGCCACATTGTATGGATGCGTTTATTATATTTACGGTAGGCTCAATTATCAAAGGACGTATGTCTTTGAAGAGCCAAGTCGGGATTGCGTCTAACATGCAAGTTGAGGCTTTTGAGGATGTGACCACAGAGATCACCTCTGCTTGGCTCACAGCCATGAATTTATCGAGGCCCACTGAAGAGTCTAAGTGGGAAGTCACGTATGCTGCTTCAGCCTGTCCACTACCGACAGCAGGAGTAACCTCCTCCAGTTTGTCACGGATGGATGTAATTTTATTATTAAAGAAATGGAGAAAGTTGACACTGCTCAGTGAGCTTGGAATTTTAGGCTCGATTGCGCGATGGCAGTTTGTGAGTTTAGCGACTGTGCTAAACAAAAATCTACTGTTATTTTTATTCGCTTCTATTAAAGTTGAATAGTATTGAGTTCGAGCCCTGCGAAGGGCATTCTTGTAGTTTCTGAGACCTGCTTTCCACTCCCTGTGGACAGGCTCCGAGTGGGAGTGGCGATATAGCCTCTCCAATTTTCTGACGTCCTGTTTTAAAGTGTGGAGTTGAACACTGTACCAGGGCAACGATGATCTAATCCTAATAGTTTTCTGTTTTAAAGGAGCTGCTGCATTTAATGCAGATTTTAAAGACTCCATAGTGTTGTCCACCGTTTGGTCAATGACTGAGGGACTGCAGCAGCTGTGAACAGGTTCACCTGCAGCAGTATTCAACATTGGCTGTATTAGTTCTTTGAACCTTGTGATAGATTTATCATTTAAGGTTCTTTTCATTATGGTTTTATCTTGCGGCGCAGGAAAGTCCTCCAAATCGAAATCAAACGTGATCAAGAAATGGTCAGACAGCAACGAGCTTTGATGCTGGACGTCAACATTGGAGACATCACAGCCGTAGGTCAGGACAAGGTCCAAGGTGTGGTTATGAATGTGAGTAGGTTCCTCAACATTCTGAGTAAAACCAACACCGTCTAGTACGGCGCTGAAAGCTTTGTTTAAGCTGTCAGTGCTGTCGTCTACATGTATATTGAAGTCTCCAGTTATAACTATGTTTTCCCATTCCAAAACTAGGTTTGAAATGAAGTCAGAGAATTCTGTTAGGAACTCGCTGTAAGGACAAGGAGGTCGGTATAAAACTATAAATAGCACCGCTTTTTGTTTTCTCCACCCAGGACAGGTGATTGAAAGTGTAAGTTTTCAAACGAGTGAAAAGCATTGTTGGTTTTGGGACTAAGAAGTAAGTTGGTGTGTGATATAATCGCAACGTCACCGCCGCAACCTGTAGTTCTCGCTTTCTGGTAGTTAACATGCGTCGGAGGAGTGCACTCATTCAATCTAACGTAGAGATTGATCTGACGTTCATTAATCCACATTTAACAACCCTACTTTTAGAACTATTTCTGTCTGTCTGAACTTTTATTAAGTTACTGTGTCTGACACCCAGGTCAGATTTCCTCGCATATAGTGCTTTAGACTTCAAGCGAGGAACACACACAGTTTCAATCTGACTAGGTTCTGAGGCTAGTAACTGAGCACACACGCACACACAGTCTCAATCTGACTAGCTTCTGAGGCTAGTAACTGAACAGATGGGGGCTCAGAGGTTGTGGCAGAGCGTCCCAGCGATTGTAAATGCTAACAGGAGGAGGCCCAATGGGGAAACTACCAACAACTCGTCGCCTTCTCCGAACAGTCACAAAGCCATCACTATCCTGGTCTTGTCCCAGCTGCGGAGGACGGGCTGGGAGGCTAGGCTCGCTAGTTCTCCTCTGCCATAGGAGTAGCGAGTTAGCGGCTAGGCTAGGCTAAGCTAGTCCGGATCCGGGCCCCGCACAACAGACTCCGAGACCAGACAAACAACCGCTACCTAAACCTCAGCTGCAGTACAGCTGACTCAGAGTGCTTACACAGTTAGCTTGGTGTACACTACGTGGATTTTTAATGCGTTTGTTTGTGCAAACAGAGAGCAGAGTGATAGTAGTCAAGAAACACGCTCACCGGATACAGGAAGTCACATCACAACTTTTTGTTGCCTCCACATTTATGGACCTGACGTACTATATAAACCGTGATATTACACAACAATCATTTTTACAACAACCTTTACCGCCACAAACACTGGGAGTGATGCCGATCAAAGGCATCACTGATGTCTGCTGTTGTTGTGTCCTTGGCAAGACACTTAACCTCTGGGAACACCTGATGCCACTGTAAAGTGCCAAACTGCCGTTGTGTACTTAGGCAAGACACTTCACCCCCATTGCCTAGAATGAGTCTAGTGTGTGTGTGTGAATGGTTGGTGGTGGTCAGAGGGGCCGATGGCACATACTGGTTGCCTCGCTTCTGTCAGTGTTTACATTGTCTTTGAGTTTCCAAAAAAGCACTATATAAAACCAATGCATTATCATTATTATTACAGGGGATGGGGTGAGGCTACAGTGTACGAGGGACAGAGTACATGGTAAACGGGGTGTACTCTGTTCCTTACACCCTGTCCCCATTACTGAGTATTGAGGGATGAGGTTACAGAGGACAGGAGACGGACTTTTTATGCACGGTCACCTTTGGTGATCAGTGACAGGAGTACTAACACTTTTCATAAAGGTACAATCAATAGTTTTTATGGTTGCTACAAATGAAAAAACATGTTAACAAATCACAAATGTAACCTTTCTAAGAATAGTCCCCTCCACCATAATTTTGAATTGTTGTTACAGGCTTAGAATTTGACCTATAAATATGTGTGAGCGCTGGAGGACTGAAGAGCGCCATCTTGAAATACATGATGGTTGATAAGTGACACAGGTGCAACTAATATTGTCGCTTCAACCGTGCCCTGACAAGTTTATGTAATAGAACGACCCGAACAACAATCTGTGAGGTTCTTTGAAGGCCACCAAAGCTGTAATAATTGACTGCAATATATAATCTCAACACTAGATGGGAGTAAAAACTACTGAATACCTTTTTAAGTATATCAGAAAAATCATCTGTTGCGCAAAAGTTAGTGTACAGACATGGAACTTGATACAACCCATGCAGTTTTGCTTCTTGTTTTTATGATTTGATCAGTCAACTGACAAAACCAAATATTTGTCACTTGAACATTATAGGACAAAAATAGGTATGGAATGAATAAAGTATTTTTTCAGTTGAGTTCCAGTTCACTTCCAACTCAAAATGTCCCAATGTCTTATGAAAATTGAAAAACAGCGGTCCTGAAAATACTCCAGATTATGTCTTGGGCTGATATCCATTCGATGTCCCACAGTTGCACTTAATAACACTCACTTTCATTCACCCTGACCCTGAAAAGTACCATCTTAAGGTGAATCAAAGTGCCAACCACTATGCCACTGTGCCACCCACTGATTCCAGTGGCAGCAATATAATAACACATTATACACCTTATAACGGATAACAGTGGCTCAGTTGGTAGAGCATTGATCTCTGAACCTAATGGTCATGAGTTCGATTCCCCCCATGACCCATGTCATCTGCTACCACTGAAGTCTGCTGTCGTTGAGGCAAGACACTTAACCCTAAATTGCCTAAAGCCCCTGCTGAAACACCAAGGTTGTATCTTCGTTCAACCCACCACCTGCAGGAGGATTAGTGAGGGGTGGTGCTATGTGATTTGGGTGGCAGCTCTGATTGCCACCCCCCAACCCATAAATGGAATAATAAAGGGGATGAAAATGACATGAAATGATGACACCTTATAACAAACCTGATTCTGTACGGTAATATTGAACATCGCCAATGAATTTTTTCAAATGTGTATCAGGTGCAGACCAAATCTGTAGCTCAGTGTGTGGAATTCTACTACACCTACAAGAAGCAGGTGAAGGTGGGACGCAGTGGCGCTGTGGCCTTTGGACCCCTGGACTCCCCCCTGGATGAGGTTCTGGAGAACAAGGTATTGTCCTGGGGTGTACTTGTGAGTCTTAAAACAGGGTTTTTGAAGAAGGGTGCACATATCAGGCTTTTTTTTATTGTGACTTGAAGTGGCACATATTGTGTGTGGTTTGGTACTTGAAGGGAGCTCCAAGTGCACAAGAACTATGAGATTTAAGAAACACAGCCCTTGTGCAAGTCCTACTTTTCAAAATGGGGCTTGCAAAATCACTTGCTTTCACTTTACAGATGTCTGTTATGTTGTTGTGGTCTTTAAAACATAAATCCTTGATTGTGAACTTGAGAGAATGTACGAAAGTGATGAAAGCTGTAAAAACACAAGAAAAAGAAACATAAGTAATGTTTGGAGATTTTTGTAGCTATACAAATGGCATTCATTAAAATAATTATTGTTTACCCCTGACGGTGGCATTTTATTTTGTCTAAAAATAGGCACGCAGGTTTGGTAAACTAATATGTAAGAGTGTAGGAGAGGGCTCCAACTGTTTAAAAGAAGTCCAGAACTTTTGGCTGCGTCCAGTGTGTACGCACCGTAATTTAGTGTTGCCCCTCAGAGTTCTTCTTGGATGTTTTTAGACTGCATGCTGACAAATAACTTGTATAGCATTGTGCGCCCCAATGCTGTCAGTAGATGATGTGCAAATGAGCAGCAGACTTTAGCACAATGATGTCAGTTACCACCAAGCATTAAAAGACACACAGGCTGGGCGATATGGAGGAAAACCAATATCTCAACATATTTTTCTTTATCTTGATGTACACTAGTTCTTCTGCAAAATAATTTTTCTTATGAAAAAAATACCTCATTTACATTAATAGTAAGTAACCTGATCCAATTCAGCGACAAGTGGCGTTCTGTCAGTAGAACAGTCGTAATACTAGTGCAGATACGGTAGTTCTTGTATTGCAAGTAATACCTTGACGGTAAACTTTTGTTTTTAGCATGCTTATAAAGCCACGTTGTTCAATGACGACAAAAGGTACCATGTCCACCGCTGTGTGGAATGCCACAAACTTGTTTTCTCCGAGCATGTTTGCAGTCAGTGCTGCTAGCTAAGCGGCCGCTGCCATTCGGAATAAGCATGGGAAATAAGCATGGGAATGAGACACACACAAGGGGGGGAGCAACAGCAAGGAGGCGGGGCGAGCACAGCACAGAGAAGGCAAACAAGCAAAGGGTCAAAAGTTAACTAAAAACATAATATCGATATATACGATATTTCAAAATTCATTTCGAGCTTAACGGAGATCTCGATATATTGTAAATATTGATATATCGTCTACCCCTACAATCAAATCGTTGATTTTGTTTGAAAACAGCAGGGTAACATGCCACATGTACATTCTCTTTTTAAATCACAGCCCAAGCATTTTCCTTATCAAACACTGATCTGGTATTGTCTCTAGATTCATCCTCACTAAGAACAAACAATAAAATGATGTGAGCTCTATATAAGGTGCTGTTACTAATTCACAGTCATAATGTATTATTTATTACAACGTTTTTATGCATTTACAATGGTTGTAGGCATTTGAATCAAATGATAACAAATGAATGTGATTTCTAAATACTTTGTAGGCACTTAAAGGAGCTATACCCGTTGCACGTTTTTTTCAGTTTGAATGTTTAGCACCGCCCCCCCCCAACTCGCTCACAGGCTTCTCATTTCCAAGCATAGATAGTCCAAGGCGGTCCCGCTCCGGCAAGTCTCTCCAGAGGATAAGATGTACGCTAACGCTACGTATATTCACCCAGGCTTGATTTCTTCTTTGATCATTTTTTTGTTTCCTCACTGTTGCATTGTTTGGACTGTTGCTGTGTATGCAGTTACAGCAAGAGGAGTTATAGCCAATTCTGCTAACCTGCTACTGTGTTTACCAGCGCTGTAGAGGCTAGAGGACGCAGTCTGTTCTAACAGCGCCGCTCCTCTGAGAAGTCATACACAAGCTGAATCAATGAGCTGAATCAAAGTTTTCAATTAAATTGCGGATTTTAACTTGTATGTAGTAATACGCATTTTTATGAACTCATTAGAAAATAAATTGGGTATAGCTTCTTTAACAATGGTGTTCAAGAGCATCTAAAATACTGCATAGTATAAGGTCCTTTAATGTTTGTGAGCTAATGATGATTCAGATTCTGATGCAGATAAATGAGAATTGCAAAGTAGATTGACATGATGCATATTGGTTGCATTGCTTTTGATTCATCACAGAGCTCAGCGCAGAGCTTGGCGCACCACAGAGTGATGCTGAAGGAGGAGGAGACGAAGTTTCAGCCGGAGCACCTCTCTGATCCGTGCGAGCAAAACCAGGAGAGCCGGCACCAGGCAAGAGTAGCGCAGTCACTACAGGCACACAATTATGTATGTATGCTACTCTGGACATGGCCTTACGCAGGCTTACGCCCCTTGACCCAAATTACAAATTATATTGCTCTTACTTCAAACTTTACTCTGGGTTCATACACCTGTCATGCTACTAGTACTCCTTTTTTCTGGTCTTTCCTGCAGTTGGTCTTTCCAGCCAACTTACGCCATGGTAAAATAAAACAGTAGCCTGTTCCTAGTGAGGTGCAATTACGCTTGTTATATGCGCATCTTTTACTGCAGGTGTTACTATTCTTGAACATAACTTGAATGTCTATACAGAGATCCACATTACAGTTTTCAGCTTGCCCGGGGCAACTGAAGATTTGGGACGGACAAGTGCGCGGTTTTAGCAAGTTGCCCGATCGGGCAAGTGATGTCAAGCTTACAGTAGTATTACTTTGACCCATTCAGGCCGGGAACGCATTCTGGCATTTCTTCCTCTGGAGCTGGGAGCGGACACGTCTGTTTATCTTTTTTTGACTAATTCACTTCATTGGTCAATTCTCTGGACCAATAAAATGCATCATGAAAATGTTCTAGGGATCTGCGATTTCAGACTTTTTCCCGCTGGAAATGTCATTTCTGTAAAATGTGTGACCGCGGGCATTTGCTGCTGTTTGCTGTAACTACTCGAACGGATTTACATCCTCCGTTCTGACCCCAAGAGCAACTGGCGCCGCTTTGTAATGAGTAATGAAAGCCACTTCAACAATTGCTCAGCGGACCATAGACGCGCGTACAGAACCATAGACGCGTGTTCAGGACTATCCCCAGCTTATTGTAAGTGCGGGTGTCTCCCATGTCTCCTTCGTGTCTCCTACCAAAGCGCAACAAAAACTTGCTAAATTAAATCTCAGGTACCTGATTTTTGTGAACAAAAATAAAATGTTGTGAACAAATCAAACAGAACACACCACAACAGGCGTATTGTTTTCTTTCATTTTGCATACTTAAGAGCCCTGTGAGTCATTTGACTTTTTGGGCTGAGAGTGGATTTTTGTTAATATATTATTTCCACACAGTTAGTGCCTCTTTATTGCAAAACTCTTGCTAATTTATTGTATTGAGAAATATTTGAGCAAGTAACTTTTGACATTGGGCATGTAAAATAATAAAGTAATTTTCCGAAGGGCAAGTGGCTCACAAGCTTAATGTCAAGGCCTCCTATATGTACGTCTGGTGCGTCTTCGCAATCTACAATCACAAAAACTGGGGAAATAGGGGAAGAGTTTTCCTTTTCCTTGTATTGCTTATGAGATGCATTATCTGTACCACGGGTGTCAAATTGGTTCCAAAAATGGCCAGACCAGACTCCACCCTTTTTCTCAAGTGATTCCAGTCTTAACCTGGACACCTGAGGAAATGGATGGAGTCTGGTTTGCTCCTGCTTGGTTGGTATTGAAGCCTGGAGCCACACTGGCCCTTTTTGGAACCAGTTTGACACCCCTGATGGCTGAATGCTACAAAGTGAGAAACGCATGAGCACATCAAAGTGGCAATACTATTGGCCACCAACAATAATCATCGACGGATTATGTCCAAATAACTGCTAGTCAAGTGAGCCACACAGTTTGTGAATCAGGTATTAGGGCTATGGTATAGGACCCTAAAGCAGACTTGGAGAGTTGGGTCTTTGGACTGAACCAGATGTTATAGTCTGATGATTGTATTCATGTGCCATTCAGGGCCTCATTCAGCACTTGTCCATCTCTAGATATGAGAAGATATAGACATTTCAATACCATAGCTGCGCACATTACAGCAGAATGAAAGGACAAATTAAAGTACTTGGGTTATGCACACGATCAAAAAAGATCTATTATTTAAGATAATAAAATAATAAGATAATAGACTCAGGAATAATTGCATGTGGGTCAAAGATAAGTAGTTAGGAGTTAGAACAGACGAATGGAATATGTAATTATGAGAGATGTTTTAGTGACTAGTAAAGAGACTAGTGAATTATCAGAACAGATGAATAACAAATGTCCAGGCTCAGCAGTTCTCATTGTACAGTCCTGCTGTCCAGCATAGATGTTAGCCTGTCCAGGACCCTCCTCTCCCCCATCTGCTGCACGGAGTTGAATTTACCTGTGGTGTATGTGATGTTTGTGTGTCCTATAGGTGGCTTCAGTCATGGTCCCTGAGATGACAAGCTGCACTCCCCCACAGACCTCCCCTGCTTCCTCCAGGACCCGATCCGAGCCTCAGGCCAAGAAAGCAAAGCCCCCCCCCAAAGCCCCAGCCGACCCCGACCAAGTCTTCCCCTGCAAGAAGTGTGGCAGGTGAGATGCATTAAATTTGTTTGTATTGTAATTAGAAAATTTAAAAATATTCAATCATTAATGAAGCCTCTAATAAATTAAGTGTTGTAAATGATTAATTGAAATTAACAGTGATGTTTTTTCACATAGATTTTCAGTATACGATTGTATAATGACTGAATTCATATGTTTAAGCAAATAAATAATTTTTATTTTTGTCCATCCAACACCAATAGACCAGGGAATTATTTTCAATGTTTTTCCCATAAGCAGTGTTGTGCCAGTTCACAGCTTTTCTGAACTTGTTCAAGTTCAGTTCATACATGCTCATAGTGAACAGTTCACGTTCAAAGTTCACAATTTTAATTCTGAACTAGTTCAAAGTTCAGTTTGTTTTACTTTTTTTGTGAGATATTCAAATAAACACTTTTTTTCACACTACGAGCTAGAGCTACAGGGAATACAGGAGGGAGGAACTGTCTCTCGTTGCGTTTCAAAAGAGAAAACAGATGTCACTCACCTAATGTGAACTAATTCACGTTCAAGTTCTTTATTAAAAAACCAGTTCAATGTTCACGTAAAAATGAGCGTGTTCAATGAATGCGTTCTTTTGAACTCGTTCACGCACAACACTGCCCATAAGTGTAGCAGTGAGCCAGGCTGTTGGTTATTTTTTCAGTTCCCTTTTTCCTTAAACCAATCACCTCTGTTTTGCTAAACATTTGCAAAAAAAAAGTGATACTCTATATGCTGATATGCAAACACAACATGCTCTTATCCATTCATCCGTTAGTTTTTATTACATATGCCATCCACGGGCGAACCAATGCAGTCTACTTATTCCTCTGTATTCACTGTGGGTTGTTGTTGCACCAGTATATTTGGTCAGCGGAAAATTTTCTTCTTTATTTCCAGCAGACTGCTCGGAGATGTTAGGGTTAGAGTATTCATTTAATTTCTTTCTAAAAGTAAAGGTCATCCAAAAATATTGATTCCGGCAGAGCAGACTTTCAATCAACCTTTACAGTCTATGGGTATGACCAATCGGTTTTAAATAGTGCTTTTTAGACAATCAAAGAAGCTTCACTGCATTATTCAATACAGCAAGCCTCAGCTGCCCTGAGGAAGACTGAAGTGAGCCTCTCCACCAATCATTCATACACACATCAGCAAAGTTTTGGCACTTTAGAGCTGCAGCCCCTACACTATGGCACCTTGTTTTCCCTAGCACTAGAAGTCCCGGCATTTTTGGCCCCCAGTTTAGAAGAGGAGAAGCTAACTTGCTACTTTGGTTGCTAACATTTTGTGTGGGGGAGGAAGAGCTGCAAATGAGTGGAAAGAGTAGAGTAGAGAGTGGTCTGTGAGAGACGACCCAAAGTATTTTTTCTAAGCAACAAGCTAAGCATACAAGCAGGCCAGAATACTAAACCTCCTATCTGAAAAAAAAAAAACCTTTTTGCAGGAAACAAAAAAAAAAATAGTTTTATTACACTAGGATCTTTTTTGAAGATGTTCCAGTTATTCTTGTGCTAAGACTATATTTCTAGATTATGTGTTAACAGTACATACTAGGTGTTTTTGAACCTTAAAGTTCAGATAGGTGTTTTCCCCCTAATTTTCCTGCACCATTATGCACATAAGAGTTTTGGACTCAAGTGTAAATAGTCAAATTATGTAGGTTATTCTAGTTTACAACATTCTGTTGTTCAAACTGTGTTGTTTGTGTATATTTAAAGTAATTCTTTATTTATTCATTCATTCATTCATTTTCAACCCCTTTATTAGTCCATTCCTGAGTCGGGGGGGGTAGCAATGAGAGCTGCCACCCAATGCTCATAGCACCAGTCCCTCGCTGATCTTCTGCAGGGGGTGAGTCCACAGGAAGATGGCTGCTCCCTCAGTTGTGAAACAGCCTTGATCTTTCAGCAGGGGGCTTCAGGCAACGTGGGGTTAAGTGTCTTGCCCAAGGACACAACAACAGCAGTGATCAGTGGGAGCAGTTGGAGTAGGTCCCATAGTGGGAATCGAACTCACGACCTTCAGGCCCAAAGGCCAATGCTCTACCAACTGAGCTACTGTCGCCCCCTTTATTTATTTTTTCAAAAAAATAACAATAACAATACTGCATTCATTCATCACTGTGGTCGGCAAAAACCTTAAGAAATAAGGCAATGAACTGTAAAACTTAAATTGTAGAAATGGAGGTGACAATCTACATTTAAGAACTTGACAGTGTAATTTGGTATTACGTAAACTCTGAACATGGGAAATGGTAGTCATGAGGTAGAGGGAAAAAAGCATGATCAATATTTTTAAATAAGGTTTATTAATGACACTAAATTACAATTATTTTAGAATTTGTACATTCTTAAGTAGTAAAAAGTGAAAACCACTAATCTACTCACTCTATAGTATCATTAAAAAAAAAGGCATATAGGAGGTTTTGTTTTTGGGCCATCGAGGTGTGAATTGGCACATATATAGGCTGTAATTTGGTGGATTAGCGATTTCACTGGTGGGACAGTAAGATTTAAGATGCTAGTAATAATTACATGCAGTAGAAAATGTAAAGATGTAATTAAATCAAAAGAAAGTAAGTATGCTTTTAAAGTAAATTTGCACGTTTGTTTTCTTTTAATTAACTATATTATCATTATTATTTTTAACTACAGTCAGCATGACATTAGATTTAACTCATTTTAACTAATTAGATCCTCCCCCTCTCCCGAAGATGGCAAAGTAAAGTGGTTTAGCAACTTCAGCGCAGCCTGTGATAATTGCCTTATTTACATAACAAAGTTAACCGTTCACAGGAGATTTTTTTAGCTAAAATCCTTGGAGTCATTTGGCACAGCCGTGGTTTTTTTTATTTACTCCACGGGACTTTTAGTGCTAGAGGTCTCCCATCACAGGACTAATCTGCCCTGTGTAGCTTCAAGTTTCATTTTGAGGTTAGGGCTAGGATATGCATATGCCATTGGTCCCACCTAAAGACGCTTTTTGTTATTAGATTTGCGCTGTATAATTGGATGGTCACATCTCTTCATCTTCTCTCTGTAGTTTACTACAAAATGCAAACACACTAGTGGCATTGACAGTTTACCTCTGTACAAAAAATTGTGGAAACAAGCTAAAAAACAATTACATCTGGAGAGACTCAGAGAAACATGGGTATTGGAATTGTATGTTGTTTGGCAAGTAATCTGACACTACATAAATCACACATATACAATACAATACAATTTATTCTTGTATAGCCCTAGGTCACAACAGAAGTCATCTCAGAGGACTTAACAAAACCATTGAAATCACCAACACAGATCAGAGAATCAACAGTTAAAACACATGAAAAATATAAAGCACACACAGAAGAAAATGTCCATACATGTTGTAGAATGCTAAAGTGTCCTGGAGAATCACCAATCCTTTCTGTTGGACACTGACTGCTAATTTACACATCACGCGTTACAGCGCGTACGCGTTATACGCGCAGCAGACACTTTTTTCCATATTAACCAATGTGAATATTTACACTTATAGCGTTATACGCGTGTATGACGGACGTATGACGCGAAGCTGCGCTCTAATTTAGGATGGATTTCTAATTTTGTTCGCGCACCAACGCGTCTCCCATTGAAATCTCATGTAAAACATGATTTTTCTAGCGGTCCTTGGCTCTAGATCGCATCTACACACGCACGCGCTGTTTACGCCTACTGTGTAAATTCCCTGTAACGGTCCAACAAGACCCTCTTGCATCGACAAGGAAAAACTCTTAAAAAAACCCAGTGGGAAAAAGTGAGAAACCTTGGGGAGAACTAGGGAAACCCACAGGGAGGGAGACCCATTTGAGAAAGGGATCCGCTCCTCCGGACGGACAGGCTAATGATCTAGGACCTAAGCTAGCTACAGAACGTGGACCAGTGGCCGCTGAACGTGGACAGGTCCGGTGCAGGACTGAAGCACTCCCAGGCGGGTCGGGCTGGGCAGTCCGCAGGTGTAGATGGAGGAGGCCAGGCTCAGAGATCCCGTCATTGTACCATGAAACAGACAATGGGACAACGGGTGAATAGCAATGAACAAACTACAGTCAAAATCCTAATAATGCTAAACAGGTAAAGTAGGAAGGAGGAGAGGATAGTGCTCAAGTTACCATACTTCTCCCAGCAAACTGACTCCCTATGCAGCTTGACTGACAGTCTGAGGAGTTTAGCCTTCCCTGAGTCTTACCTTCCTAGCCATATGCTAAACTAAAGAGGACTGTTTTAAACCTAGCCTTGAATAAAGAGAGTGTATCTGGAAGGAGGTAAGACAACAGCAGCAGCCACGGCTAGGCTAGCCTAGGTTACAGCACCAAGATTCATGGATTGCACACCAGGTGTGCAAACCGATGACACTGCAGACAATGGGCCTCATTCACAAATAACTTCGTAAGAAACTACTCAACTTTCTTCTCAAGTTGTCCTTAAGTAGATTTCTAAGAAGTCCCCACGTGGGATTCATCAACGCACTCGTAAGCCGCTGAATTGTTCGCAGCTGTTCTCTCAGATTGATGAATCCCATTTCCTCGTAAGTACAGCGCGCGTGCCAGGTGCTTCATTAGCATAGGTACTTAGCATAAGTAACCGCCCACTAATGCCCATATAAGGGGCTGCAGGGCCGTGTGCAGACGGCTGAGGAAACAGCAACAGGCCTAAAGCAAGGAGCAAAAGAGTCTCCCTTTTTTCTTCTTTTACCAGACTGAGAATAAAGTTATAAAATGTTGACTTAAAAGTCGAAATATTATGATAATAAAGTCGAACTAGCAAAATTATGAGATTAATCTAAGAATATGATGAGATTAATCTCAAAATGTTATGAGTTTAATTTAAAAATATATTATGTATTATTTTAAAGATGAATCTCAAAATGTTTTGAGATTAATCTCAAAATATTTTGGACCCTGGGAGGAGATCCAGCGCGGACCAGCGCTGAGACCAATGCAGACCCGAGGAGAGACTGGAGTGTCCAGCACACAGAAA